CCATCTTAGTCTTCCATTCCAGTCTTCTCCAGACAACCACTGATCTGCTTCTGTTAGTGTAGATTACTTTACCTTTCCTAGAATTTTGTTAAAATGGAATAATTTAATATGTACTTCTTTTAGTTTGGTTTCTTTCACTCAACTAATTGAGTTTTATGCAAATACTGAATAGCACAATACTGTATGGATATATTTTAATTTGTTTATTTAGTAACTTGTTGATGGATTTTTGGATTGTTTCCTGGTTTTGGCTATTATAAACGAAGTTGTTGTGAATGTTTATGTAGTAAGCTTTACATGAATAATTTATTTTTCTTGAGCAAGTCCAGTGGCTGGGTCATGAGGTAGGTGCACATTTTAACTAAGAAACAGCAAAACTGTTTTCTAAAGTAGTTTTTTTTTTTTTTTTTTAAAAAAAAAAAACAATACTGGAGATTGAGCCCAGGGCCTTCATACTGAGCTATATCCACAGCCACCAGCCTCCTATCTCTATCTGTTTGTCTATCTATCTATCTGTCTATCTATCTATCTATCTATCTATCCATAACTTGCTAAGTTTCCTACTTATTGTGCTCAAACCTTCAATCCTCAGGTTTGATGATTCAAGGTATTTTAGCTTCCCAGAGCGCTGTGCTTTCATACATTCTTATCAGACGTGCAGAAGAGTTTAACTTCATCTCCTCATTAACATTTAATATGTTCAGTCATTTTAATTTTAGATATCCTAATAGATGATGGTTATCATGATCTAATTTGCATTTTCCCAATACGAATTTTCTCAAGTGCTTATTTGCTATCTATGTCTCTTTTTTTTTCTTTTCAAAGTTTTATTGATAAACATATAGCAATGAGACAGTTTCAAATCAAATTGAAAGTACAGTTTCAACAAATATATCTATGTCTCTTAAAATAAGTTTCTACTTAAATATTTTCCCCAATTTAAAAAATTGGATTGTTTTCTTATTATAAAAAGTTTGAGAGTTCTAAATATACTTTGGACACAATTCCTCATTAAATATGTGATTTTTCTCTGGGTCTTTTTTTTTTTTTTTTTCATTCTAGCAACAGTGACTACTGAAGACAGTAGAATTGCTTAATTTTGATGAAGGCAAAATTTATCATTTACTTTTCTTTTAAGGATTATGCTTTCTTGAGTCACATCTAAAATATGATTGCCTATTCTAAGATTTCAATGACCTCTACCACTGCAAGGCTTTTTCCTTGAGTGTATCTGTCTTCACATGGGGCTTTTTTTTTTTTTTTTTTTTCTCATGGAGGCACTAATCATATTGGAGTAGCTCTTCCCTACCGACTTTATCCTAAATTGCTTGTGTTTGTGAAGATCTTATTTACAAATAAAGTCATATTCCTGGACGCTAATGATTAAGACTTCAATGAATCTTTTTTGAGGGCACAATGCAACCTGTAAGTTACATAGATTGTCAAGTGTTAGACCAATTTGTATTATTGGGATAACTATATGGTTATGATGTACCAGTGTTAATCTTTTCACATATTATTGGATTTGATTTGCTAAAATTTTATTAAGAGTTTTGTATTAAGTATATAAGAAATAGAAGTCCATAAGGTTTTTCTTATATGATCTCTACTTAGTTTTGGAATTTGAATATTGCCAGTCTCATAAAAATAATTGAGAAATATTTGCTTCTTTTCAGTTCTCTGGAAAAGTTTTGTGGAAATGGTGTAATTTCTCCCTTCAATATTTCATAGAATTTGCCAGGAAAACCATATAAGTCTTTTATGTTTGTAGGACATTTTCAAGCTATAAATTTAATCTTTTTTCTTTTTTCACCTTCCTTTTCTTTTCTCCTCTCCCAGCCTCTCTTCTTTTCTTACTCTTTCACTTTTTTTGTAGTACTGGGAATAGAAGCTAGGGCTTCATACAACTAAGGCAAGTATACTACCACTAACTCACATCCCCAGTCAAATTTTAATTCAATAGATATGTGACAATTTATCTATTTCTTTCTGAATTAACTTTAGTAGTCTGTCTTTCAAGACATTTGTCCATTTAATGTAACTTGTCAAAATTTATTGGCAAAAAGTGTTTATAGTATTCCCTTGTTATTCTCTTTGTACCTACTAAATCTGTGGTGATGTTCTCTCTCATTCCTGCTGATAGCAATATTAGCTTTCTCAATCCCTGATATATCTGACTAGAAGCTTATCGATTTTTTAAATCTTCTCAACTAACTTTTGGGTTTTTCTCAGTTGCTTTCCTGTTAGGCATTTCATTGCCTTCTGTTAAGGTTTGTGTCTAGATGTCCTCCCAAAGCTTCATGAGGTTGTGGTGAGGCTTTTTCAAGAGGTGTCTCAATCTAGAGTGTGTGATGCTAGGATTAAGGGTGTGTAGTTATTAAATCAGTACACTAATTAGTTTGGTATTGCCCTAATTCCAACAATCTGGATATAAGGGACATATCTGTCCAATATAAGGGACAAGAAGAGGCTTGTCTCCCTTGTTTGTTGCTTTTTTTACCTTGTAGACACCATGAACTGTTTCTTCTTTATGATGTCCCTCTGCCATGTGTCATTTGCCTGGAAGCCAGCCAACTATACACTGAAACTTTTACAAACTGTGAGCTAAATAAATCTTTCCCCCTTTAATTATTGGTGCCAGGTATTTTGTCTCAGCAATGAGATAAATAACTAAGACACACTTTCCATTCTGATTTTTATTCTTGTCTTTTATTCCTACCAGTACTGGAAACTGATCAGAGGTATCATGCATGGTAGATAAGGGCTCTTCCACTAAGCTGCATCTCATTTTTATTTCTGTTCTGCTTTGGTTTTATTTGCTTTTAAGGTACATAGCCACATGTGAGAAATTTTTTTTCAGAATAGCTATTTAGCACTATAAATTTCCTCGTATATATTGCTTTAGCTGCATCACACAGATTTTTGAAGTTTTTGTTCATTTTAATCTTTTCTTTTCTTTTTCTTTTTTTTTTTTTGCAGAACCGGGGATTGAACTCAGGCCCTTACGCTTGCCAGGGAAGCGTTTATTCTATTGAGCCATCTCCCTGGTCCCTTATTTTAATCTTTTCTAATAACCCTCTTTGGTTTCTTAGTTATGTATTAATTTCCAAATATTTTAATAATTTTCCAAAAATGTTGTTATTGAAATAAAAAATATAGTTTTTGCAGTGCTATAGGTGAAATGTAAAGTCCTGAGCACTGCCAGGCAAGCGTTATACTAACTGAGCTATCAGTCTGAGCAGTATTTTCATTGTTAGGGAAGGCACATTTGCCTGTGGCAAACCAGTCTGATATCAGAGCCAAATGAAGTAGGTCTTGTGGCAGTGAACTTGCGATCTTAGAATCACTGGCGGGGTCGTGGTGGCAAACAGGTCTGATAGATGGTTGGAGACAAGTATTTTTTCCTTAATAGTTGAAAAAAAAGACCATTTGTGATATTCAGTAAATAATGTGACGAGTACATGAAGCCAGGAATTGCACTAAACACTTACTTGATCACTTCATTTGCTAGAGTTGCCCAGCGGGCGGATGTGGCAAGTCTCAGGCGCTTTAGCCCCAGGAGAAAGGTGAAATCAAATCAGGTTGCCTGAGACAAACAGATCTGGGAGATCCTGGCTGTTGGGAACTGGGCCATCAACTTTACACCAGTACCTGGTGTTTCTATGGGGTGGGTTTTAACACGCTAGGTCAGACCACCACCTCTCCATCTGTCTGCAGGAGGCAAATAGCCCTCAACACACCACATTAAGTTCTCAGGTCTAAAGACCCTCTGTTTTGTGGGCTCTACAGTCACTAGAACTATAATCAGCCTACTGACTAATTATTGTTTAATTATTGCTTAAAAACCGATTGCCACAATACAATCACTGCATTAATTACCCCATACAGCATCTGCTTCCCCCATCACCGTTCCTCCTCAGCCCCCCTCCCCACTTTAATTGAAATTCAGCTTGCTGTAACACCCCTTTCTACCGGCCAACTGGATCTCTCCATTCACAGAAGGGACAAGAACAAAACACAGAAAGCCCCAGGGATTAAGGAGTTTTGACAGCTGTCCAAGAGGAGTGCTGAGACAGAGCCCAGGACCCAGGCAGGACAGAGACAAACGAGAGACCCGAGAGTAAGGAGGACAGGAGAGAGGGACCGGGGAGTCATCACAGGAGAAATAAATTGAACAAAGAGTCGCAGAGACCAGCAGAAATGTTGAAAGGGGCGCCAAAAAGAAAAGCTAAAAGCAAGAGAAATAGGGAGAGATGGTGAGGAGAAGACAGCAGGCTCCGAGGGCAGGGAGACGAGGGAGCTCGTCAGGAAGGAGAGGGCTGGAGCGCAGCCTGCGGGGACTGGTCAGTCCAGCCTGAGGAGCGACCTGCAGATCGGAGGAGGCAGCCGGCCGCGTGGGCTTCCCCGGCACACCTGGGAGGGGTGCGGCGCAACTCAGCCGCCGCGGGCCAAGGAGTACCCGGGCGGGGCCGGGCCGGCGGAGGCTGCGCGCCGGGCTGCAGCAGCGGAGACCCCAGCAAGCCCGCGAGCGCCCGGCGGCCCCGCCCCCACGCCTGGCCGCCTCCTCGGCCCAGGCTTTTCCTGCGGGGCTCAGGAAGCCGGCCTAGCTCGGTCACGAACAATAGCTCCGGGCGCGGGCTCGGCCCCCAGAGGGCCGGCGCGGGCCGCGGGAAGGGGCGCCGCGCCGCCGGGCACCGCAGCGAGCCCCGGGCCGGGCGGGAGCTTCAGGGGGCTCGGCGCTGCCTGCCGGGGTCATTGTTGGCCGCCGCTGAGGGAGCGGGAGCCGGGGGAGGAGCCGGGGGAGCGGCGGCGGCGGGAGCCGGAGGGGGCGCCAGAGAGCGGCGCGGAGCGCGCGGGCGAGCGGGAGGAGGCCGCGAGTGTGAGAGCGGGGAGCGAGCGAGCGAGGGAGGGCGGCAGGGAGACGGGAGGGTGGGAGGGAGGAGGAAAAATAAAGAGGAGAGCAGAGCAGGGCTGAACAATAGAGACAGGCGGACGGGCGAGTCGGAGAGCCAGCTGCCGCTGCTGAGGGACGGCGGGCGCCCAGGCAGCACGGACCCCGACCCGGGCCCCGGCCCCAGCCACACAGCAGGCGGCCAGCGCCCCGGGCAGGGGGACCATGGGGCGGCCGGCGACAGGCGCCTCCAGCCCTCCGCGCGCCGCCGCCTGAGGGAGGCTCGGCGTCCTCTGCCCCAGCCCCACAGCCGGGAGCCCCACGGCCGCCGCGCCCCTTGCCCTCCACCCACCGGACGCCGAGCCGCAGAGCCCCAGCCTTCGCTGGCCGCCGGGTGCTCGCGGACGTCCTCCTCCAGTCATGAACCCCCAAGAGGGGGCAGCGGAGGAAGGAGGAGCCGCCGACTCGGACGTAGACCCCTTTTTCCGGACAGGTAAGCCCTCCGGGGCGCGGGGGCCGGGGACGCGGCGTCGTGGACAAGTTTGGGGACGGCAGGCTGTTGCCAGGCGTGCATATGGGGGCTGGTGCTGCCCCCGGTCGTCGGGGCTGGAGTTGCTGAGGTTCTCTTCGTGTGGCACTGCTGGCCGCGTCGCGGGAGACGTGGGGGCTGGGGACCGGGCGCCCCTGCGCCCCCCGAGTTGCGGGAGTGCGTGCGGGGAGGCAGGCAGCGGTCGCCGCGGGCCGCCTGCTTCTTGGGTGCGGTGTTAGGCGATGTTGGATCACTTTGCGGCGAGCCGCTCCCGCTCCCGGTGTCCTCGGCCCCTCCCTCCGCTCCCCCTGCTCGCTGCCTGTCCGCGGGGCTCCCTCAGCGGCCGGCTTGGGGTCCGGGGCCGGCATTCCTCCTCCCGGCAGGGCCCTGGTGTGCAGAGAGGGGCAGTGGAGACCTGAGGCGCGCAGGCTGCAGATGACAGTAGGGGCCGGGCGGACGAGACACTGCTGCCCTGCGCGCGTGGGGAGCCGGCGACGTGGTCTTGGGAGGCGGACCCGGCTGGGGGGCGGTAGGCGTCGTGGACCTCCTGCTCGCCCACCTCTTCTCCAGTATGGGAACGGGTGAGCGTTTCCTAAGAATGGCTCATTCCTGGAAGTGTGAGTTAGCATCCCTCGCCTAACACACCCACCAAATCTTTGCTTGCCTGTGAGATGTGAAGCCGTGAAATGTCTTTCCAGTCTTTCGCGCCGCTGCCATCTCCCAAGCTCCGGATCAGTAGTTCCTCCTTCCCGTGGGCTACAAGATCCCTTTCACAGAACTGGTACTGACCAGCCTTGGCTCCCACCACCTGTGGCCCTGTTTCTCTAATGACCAAGAAATCTTTTCTGTACCTGTAGCTTCCACCAGCTCCGTTTGTGTAGTTCCCCATCTCCCCACAAGTCTGGAACCATTTTGTCTAGAATCTTTGTCCCAAGGAGTCTAATAAGTTATCGTGGCCCATGCATCTTCCCTCCTTTTTAGGAAAGTTGGATTAGAGGGCATGAACTGCTGGGGTCAGGGGTCAGGTTAGCTATGGAGGCCGCTGGAGGCGGCACATCCATCTGTTTACTTACCCCACTGCCTTGCCCTGAAGGTCATCTTTGGTGACGTGGGTGGAGTGATTTGTTGGGAGACTTGTGGCTTTGGAAGTCAAGGCTTAAAGTTGATCTGGAGAGGAGAGAGCTGGAGGGCAGGAGTTGATTCCAAGGCCTGGAAAACCAGAGGAAGACTTTTCATTCTGTCCTGCTTTCAGGGCTGGCTCATCCAGCCCTCCTTCCTGCCTCTCCTTGAGCCATGTGTTTCAATGTCCTTTCCTCTCTTCTCTCCCTTTCCCTCTCTTGTCCCCTCTCCATCTCTCTCATCCTCTCTCCCTTTTTCTCTCTTTCATTACACTCATAACTGCCTAAAGGGGTGCTTAACCTGAGTTTATAACCTGGAATCTAGGGTAGATTTTCTGGGAGCCAGAAATAGCAGGAGAGCCCAACTGACTCCTATTGCCTCCCAGCTGGGCAAACTTTTGCATTTTTAAAATTTAATTTTAATTTACTTTAACTGGGGTTGTGGGGGAAGTCTTAAGTTGTGAGCCTTCCAACTTTCCTTTTCTGGACTTAGCTTTCAGGTTTTGGTGCTCACTCCTTTCCCTCTCCTACTATCCAAACCTTAAGCCCTGTCCCCTCTTTTTCCCAGGCATCTGGAGCAGACCTGGAGGCTTACTTATTTCTGACTAATGATTTCACACAGTGTTTTAATGGTGTTAATGGCCTATAATGGTCCAATGTGTTACTTTTCCCAGGGCCTTTCAAAACACAGCAAAGCTTACATTGTCTAGCCCTGGCTCAAATCACAGAGTGAATAGCAGACTTGGGTCAGTCTCCTGTGGGATTCCTGTTCGGGATACTTTCTTCCTCCTTAGTCATCCTTATTGTGGCTGAGGGGTAGGTCTGGTGTGCTCTTCATGCATAAAACTGGAAATGACTGATGGCCTGCAGCAAGTTGCAAAAGAGGGTAGGTCTGGAACCATTATCGACCCTGTCTGGCCCTTTATCCTCCTGATCTTCACCTCACTTCTTTTCTCTAGTCTAGATTCTTACGAAACTATATTTTTGAACCTTCTCCCTTTTGAATTTTTATCTCTGTGGAATATAGCATTATACTTGGTTGGCTGGCTGGATTATTCTGTTGAACAATTGAGAGACCATCGAACAAATTTTCAAAGTTCCTAGCACCAGGGTTACCCCTCGTCCTGGTGAAAAATTCTGTATGCACAAAGACCAGACTAGCAATTACTTTGTCAGAATCTTGGCATACTGTGCCTCTAATTAGATACATTTTAAATAATTCTATCATTTGGTTTCTTACCTGTCTTCTTCTGATTATTTTGGTATATTAATTCTCTTGACCAACTGGTTAAACTAGATTACATAAATCTCATTTTTTTGCATGCATAATGGAAGCAGATACCCTCCACCCCAACCTAGTATTTTTATAGATTGGTAGACTTCAGAGGACATTCTTGGGAATTCTGTTGCAAGCCTGAGAAAGTATATCACAACTTTTTAATTTAATTAAAATTTTATTGGTCAGGGTTGTGATGCAGAGGAGAGGTATGGGAATAGAAGCTAATTGACAAACCAATCAACAAAGACTTTTCAAGTCCTAGGAGGAACTTTCTGCTGTCCAGGGTGCTATGGAACACAAGAGAAATATTTAAAGTGTTCGTCTCTGTCCTCAAAGAACTTTAAGACTACTAATTAATTCTAAACATGATGGTACTTTTCTTGTTGCTGAGACAAAATACCCAACACCCCAAGTTAAAGGAGGAAGGGTTTGTTTGGCTTATAGTCTGTAGGGGTTTCAGTTCATCATTGGCTGACTCCAACGCAGAGTGGCATGGCAGACAGGAATCACAGAAGAGAAAGAGTTCATGTTTGGCAGAAGATGGCAAAGCAAACAGGGGGCTGTGACAGCTCTTCTTATCATTTATCCAGGCTACTTAGTGTGGGTAACACTCACCCCCTTAATCCTAGTGCCCTTGAGCCTAGCGTTGTACCATGATTCAGTCCCAGCAACATACACTGTAGATCCAGTTACCGCTGAGAAAGCTGTACTGATGACAAGTATGAGGCTTTCGGGGGACATCTAGACAGGAGCTATACTAGGTGCTAAAAGTAAAAAGATGACAACTACAGAGGAGGTAGCATCTAGAGATGTCCTTGAAAGGTGGGTGTCGAGGATTTGGGATTTTGGGGCATTGAGAATCCTAGGCTGATAGAGTACAAGATGTAGATCAGGAAAGAATGAGTAAGAGTGTTGGATAACTATGATAGGGCCAAACAAGGGGAATCTTGAAAATCCAAGAGAGGAGTTTGGATTTAATTAGGGGTGGGGTACAGTAGAGAGTCATTATATGTTCTTCAAAAATGCCAAAACATAAAGAAAGTGGTCTTTTGAAGGGCTAATCTGGGGAGCAGTATTAATGGAGTGAATTGACAATAAAGATGAGACCCAGAAAAAGTCAGATGTGATCCAGAGCTGAGAGAAAGGGGCTTAGTGTGGTTGTTAGTTTTTCAAAAAAGGTAAGAGGTTAGAAATAAGTCTAACAGACATTTTTAGAGGTAGAAATGTGGGGATTTTTTTTTTTTTTGGACAAACTAGTTATATATAGGGGAAGAGGAAAATAAAACCCAGAAGAAAACTGAAATAGCTAGGTTGAAAGCCCAGAGGAGTCACTCTCACCTGACTGAGGTGATCTGGTTGAAGACAAGAGCTAGATTTATAGGGCAGATAATGAGTTTGGTTCTGGGTATGAAGAATTGAAGGCAGACATCCAAGAAAAGTTTTGTGCAAGACTTAGAAACATGGGACTCAAGACAGGCACATGTATGGGCAAGAGGCTAGGATGCTGATTTGGAAGGCAGAATGCAGCTGACATTTCTTGAAAGTATCATCTATCAGAGAGAGGCAGTAGAAAGAAGAGGGAAGAGTAGAGTCAGATTTAAGGAGAGAAATCCTTATTTCAGAAGTGGAAGCAAAGAAGTCTTGATCCTGGAGACTGCAGAGAGTCTGTGTGGGCTCAGCTTTTTTTTGACTAATGTCATGTGTGATGTGACAACAGGATGCAGACAGGCTGAGCAGGAGGTGTGCTGAGGGTGAAGAAAATAGCACTCTTTGGGGGGCACAGGGTTAGAAGAGGCACTCAGAGTGAGTATTTGGAATGGTGAGCAGGTCTTACTTCACCGAAAAGAGAAATGGGTTTGCTAGTCAGACATGACATTAGTCAAAAAAAGCTTTTTTTTTTTTTTTTTTTGCTAGAATAGGTTTGGAGGTGGCAGAGAGTGAGCTTGAGAAGAGAAAAAAGTGAAGATGTTAGGATAGAGCTTGAGTTGGACTCAAAGAGAGGTGAAAGTGATAGATTTCCTACTGCAATGAGAGCTTGATTTTATGAACAAGTGAGAGACTTTTTTTTTTAAAAAAGTCAAAACCTTTAGAAGATGAAAGAAAAGAGATTAATATGAGATATCTTTCACCTTCATCTTTCCATCAAACTTTGACCTCTACATCTTTAGCTTGAGTATTTGCTGTTACTTGGGCTTTGGCCCAGGTTCAGCTCTGTGTATGACTTTCCAACTCCCAAACTACCTCCTCTTCACTTTCTTGATTCTATAAGAGGTGTCTTCACTTTCCCAGTTGTGATGCTTAAGACCGTGGTATTATGTGTGAATAATCTCCCCTAACAAACCCTGTTGGATGACCTTCCATTGTTAGTCCTTGCTATTCATCCTCAGGTCCACTTTACCAGGCCAACCAGCCCTAGTATACCTCTTACAGTTCTTCTTTTAAGCCCTCCTCAACCCTTGTAATCTGCTTCCCTATCCCTACTCCACACTGCACTTACAGGCATACTACACTTCCTAAAACACTACTTTAGTCATACTGCTACTTGGTTTATGAAATTACATTGGCTC